TATTTTTAAGTAGTATTTCCTAAAAACCAAAGAGGTTTATCACACTAAACATTCTCTCTCTTCATGTGCTGGGGTACAAAGATAATAAGAGGAGCCAAGCAGGTAGTCCACACCTTCATCCCAGCACCCTCGGAGGCTGAGGCAGGAGGGTTGCACAGGTTTGAAATCCTGGGCAATTTAGTGACTTAGTGAACCTCTGTCACAAAAAATTAAAAAGGCTGGGGATGAAGCTCAGCGTGAAGGTCGTGGGCTCCTGGGCTCAGCCCTCCCCAGCACCACCAAAAAATAGAAAGGATAAGGAGGAAGGGTGATAGGTGAGGGTGAGACAGAGTCTACTGGATTCTGTGGGAAAATGAAAATGTTTAACAGCAACTGTGTGATGGAAACAAATCCTTTTTTTCAGAAGTGTGCTGGTCAGGATTTTCCCACCTCTTTATTTAATTGAGTAGCTACATTTTAATAGTGCACGTGAACAGGTGCAAAGGGCCTGGGGCTCACTTCCCTTCCGACCTCTTCAGGAGTGGCCCGGCCACACGCAGTTCCAAACAGAACGCACGCTTCCCTGACCCGCACCGCACAGGTCAGAACACAAGCGAGGTGTTCCTGTTCCCCTCCCAGAGGTCAGCCTGGGCTCTCTCTGGATGAAGTCAGTCCCTCAAGGGACGCCAGCCTCACAGCCTGGGAAAGAACGCTCCAGATTCAAAACCAGAGGCACACAATGGAAACCCGCAGCGTTTGTTTTTCCACTAGGAGAGGCAGACTACACAACATCCTCTCAGGACAAAGCCAACTCACATTCAGGATCAGGCATTAACTCTTCCTAATCCGAATGACTTTTATCCCCAGAACAAAATAAGGAAAATCTGACGCCTTATTGCAAGCATTCTCTGAAAGCAAAACCACCACGCTATCCCAATCAGATGCCTTTCGTTTACCATATGTTAAACTTTGAAAAATCCATGTGGTAAGTAGACAGTATACAACCCAGGCAAGATTAATAAGTACACACAATAATATTTATTTATCACACGACTGACTATTCTCAAAACACTTGCAAGTGCTTTAAAGTAAGGTTCAGCCAGGTCCCCTAAATATGGCCCACAGCCGCTGTGTAAGTGCTGTGACGTCTCCCTGGACCACAGCCACACTCACCGTCCGCAGGTCACCTAGGACGGCCTCTCTGCCACACTGCGGAGCTGAGCGGCTGTGACACGGGCTGTACGATCTGCCGGGCCACCTCTGCCCTTTCCAGGAAGTGTCGGCAATTCCTGTGCTTCACCTATGGGCCTGCCTGCAGCTGCAGCATTCCTAACACTGGGGCAGCTTGCTGAAAGTTTTCCTGGGCTCTGTCTCCAGGGTCAGGGCTCAGTGGGTCCAGGGAACCCCCAAACTTCAACTTCCAACAGGCACACAAGTTGCTGGTCTATGAACTAATCTGTGGGAATCACTGCCCTGAAGGACCTCATATCATCACAGATCAACAGGGAGCATAAATGCCTACGCTCGATAAAGCAGGCGGGCTGTCACAACACGAAAACTGAGGCATATAGGAGGACAGAGACAGATCTCTTCACTTAGCAATACCTCGGTTCACGAACGCATCCGTGTGCAAGCAATTCAGCTCGAACAGAGGCAGTTGGTAAAATTTTTCTGCCATTTGTGAACTCCACATCAGTTGACAAACAGGACCACAGCCATCTTCCCCAGCACTGTGGAACAATTAAGTTCGTGCACCAACGCACCAACGCACCACCGCATGGAACTTGGCAGCCAGAAAGTAGCTCTGCCAGGACCATCAGGTGATCTTAGCTGTGCACGCTAACACTAACTTACCGGAAACTCAACAGGCACCAGCAGGAACCGAAGGCGGCTGCTGGGCAGTGTAAGACCCAATCTCTAGAGAAGCTATTGAGCCCATTTTGAGTACAAGCACATGCGGCTATAATCTAGTACTTAACTGAACTCCTACAGTATGTGTGAAAAAAATCTGACACATGTAGTTTATAACCCAATGGTCCAGTCAAATTTCCTGTACATAAATTGAATTCTTTAAACAAATCCTAATACGTAGAGCTAAGATGGGAAAGAAAATAAAGGATGTCAACTGGGAGGTTTCACTAGAGCTAGCTTCAGGCAGGAGGGAAGAAGATGATACCAAATCACTAAAATAGGTTACAATGGGGGGCTCTGGCTGATGCGTAGCAGCTGACGCAATCACAAAGCAGCAGGCTCCACACCACGCGGCCTGTGACCACGCCAGAATCAGGTCTTTACCTTGCCGACCACACGGATTTGCATTTTCCTAAAATCACTTTGGCACCACTGGAAGACAAAGACTGAAGGGCAGGGCTCTCACTCTTGATCTAACAAGACTTTGTGATCAAGACACTGGTGAAAGGGAGGCGGGCAGAGCTGAACTGGGCTTTTACAAAATCATTTCTTAATTTTTATCCAATTAAAGTCTAGAAAGATGTAGAAAAGACTGAAACTCGCACACTGCCTTCAGGAAATAGTGCCGTGCTCACCCAGGGAAGTCAAGGTTCCGCGCAAAGGCAGGTAAGATGAACTGTGTGAGGCTGGCGGTCACACAGCCCAAACCCTGGGCAGATCCTAACTCCCCTGGGCTTCGGTTCTGCACTGCACGATGAAGGCGTTCTTATCCTGAGCCTACACAGAATGGGTGGTCAGCACACCTGGTTCTGTTATAATCCTATCCGCTTTGCTTAAGTGGTAGAACAGTCTCTGATTCTGAGAAGGGTTAATGGCATAAAAGATGGTAAGTTCTATGTGATCTTGGGGTCAATTACAACTCTTAAAAGACAGGATTCAGGCAGTTCATTATAAAGACAATGCTGCTGGCTAAGGATGACCAGGAACGACACAAAGGAAAAGCACCACACAGATGGAAAACCACACAGGGCAACCTTGGTTCATACTATTTTGCCTCTTCGGTTCTGGTTCTCCTTTGCACCCCTCAGTTGATGCTGGTACCAATGGGGCTTGGTAGCTTTCCCCTTTCATGCCCTTAAGCCTGGTGAGGTATGCTTTATAGAACAACTTCATTAGTAAAGGCAATGGGAGGAAAGTTAAGTATGTAACGATTATGTAGTGAAGACTCTGGTACAGTCAACAAGCAAACAAAGGAGGCAAGAACAGAAAACCTTCATGATAATATTCAGATACAAAACTGTCTGGTAAAGAAGAAAGGTGACACCCGTAATCCCAGCACTCCAGAGGCTGAGGCAAGAGGGTCATTCTGAGTGTGAGGCCAGCCTGGGCTACAAAGTGAGCTCAAGGCCAGCCTGAACTGCATAGCAAAACCCCGTCTCCGAAAGACAAAAAAAAAAGAAGCTAAGTGAATAAAGACAGCATTTTTTAAAATCAGAAAAGAAAAAACTGGCTGTAAAAAAAATGTGTGGAATAAAAACTAGTTGTTATCATCCTACAATGGTAGGCCAGGAGCTTTTGGTGCAAGTGACAGACACACGGCCACCCTGTTCTGCTGCCGGAACTCAGCATAAAGGATGTGATTTACAAGGTCACTGTTGGCTTTCCAACTTAAAACACACCAGCTATGACACAGGAAGGAAACCTGATTAAAATAAAACGCTTTACAAATACTACCGAAGCATAAATTGTACAACATCTAACCATCGAATAAAGCGTGCCCGACGTAGGACTGCTCACTGTATCACCGCTGCACACTTATTCAGTCAGATGAAACCATCAGAGTGGTTCTGATTCATGGATGAAGGTCTTACTGCACCACTGGTTCAGCGTTCAAAAACACACCTGGCACTCGCATGAAAAGGCACTTACAGTGATATAATTCGTAGCATCTTTTAAAATTGTACCTACTTAGTATTTTAAAACATTCCTATTCTAGGGGCTGGGGATTTAGCTCAGCGGCAAAGCGCCTGCCTGGCAAGCGCAAGGTCGTGAGTTTGGTTCCCGGTACCGGAGAAAAACCAAAAGAAAAAAAAAACATTCCTATTCTAGACATGAGTCTACACCAAGGCAGTCAACAACTATTCAATGAACAGCAAGGACAGACCCCAGAAGCTGCCAAATCAACCTCCGCCCCAGACTGAGTTGCCCAGGGAACTGAGCTACACCCCTAGCCCTCCCTTTTTTCCTTCATTTTGTATTTTGAGACAAGACTAAGCTGCTAAACTGCCCAGGCTGGGCTTGAACTTGTGACTGTCCTGCCTCGGCTTCCTACAGTGCCGGGATCACAGGCAAGCACCATCACGCCTGGTTTGAAGTTTGTCTCCTAGAAACAACCCGAGGGGTCCTTTACTATCCTCAGACAGGTTTTCTGGAGAAAGACCAAAAGCCTGTTTGTCTTCTTTCCTCCTCGCGATGTATCAAGCTCTCAGATCTGTGTGGGAGGGCAGGTTCCTGTCTGTACAGGTAGCTCTTTCTTCCACCCGACCAACAATCTGCTTATCTCTAAGCCAGGGGCAGGTAACTGGGAACCTAAGGCGATCTCCAGTGTCACCTGCGCCTTGTAGCCTCATCTAATAACTGTCTTACAGTCACTTTTTAGTTAAATACTGTCTGCGGCCTGGAGATTTCCAGTAATTTATTTTGCTTTGGTAAAACTGAGCCAAGCCAACTACAGCTACTTATAAAAATGTGGGTTTCTTCCCTTTGGTCCAGGGACTGTTGGTCATATGTTCAGTAAATTAGAGAAAGCTCAGAGTTCCTATATCTGGAGGAACTACCACACTTAATTCACAAAAGCAAAATATTTGCCAGGCGTAAGATGTTTAGAAATCATTCCTAACCACACTTCATTACGAAACGAGTCCTCACTTAGGTGAATTTACTACAGAGGAACTCGTGTGTACACAGCACGCGTCAGAAGGGGGATTTCATTTGAAAGGATTTCTCCAAATGTGACCTGGGCAAAACTTCAAGAAATCCTTCGAGGTGCTTGAAAGTCAAAGTTGCAGTTTATTCCGGAGCAAGGCCCAAAGCACCTTGCGGCTCCTCACCTCCATCTCCACAGCGGCGATGCCCTGGTCGTAGTGCCCCATGAGGTTGGGGAAGAAGGTCAGGTTGTAGGTCATCTTCAGACACCGCGGCACGGTGACCGGCTCGCAGGTGAAGAGGCTGTGCCCGCCGGCCAGCGGCAGGAGAGCACACAGCGACAGGAAGGCCCGCTTCTCCATGTTCCTCGGGCCCCTAGCTATCGCGCGGCCGGATGCGCCCCTCTTTTCACGTCCGGAGAGTCCCATGCAAAGGGTAAAGCGTTCACAGTCCTCATTTCATCATTTTACCATTTTGGAGGGTGTCGCTTTCCTGAGAACGGGTTCTGGATCAGCCGCTGTAAAAACAACCCAGAGGGTGTTATGAGCCGCGCTGTCACCGAGTCGCCTGCGCCAAGCGCGGGTAGTGCCCACCGTGGGAAGCCAGCGCCGCGGCCCAGGCCGGGAAGCTGCGCCCGCAGACGGCCTTTCATCTGCGCCGGACGTGTAATTTGGGGCGCCCCTCGCCTCTCCAGGCCCGGTGATTGCAGGTCTGCCCCCGGCAGTGGATGGAAGCGGGGTGTGGAGGCTCGGGGTGAGCTCAGAGGGGTTAGCAGTGTGAGGTCTAGGGGCCCCAGGGAACCCTACTCCACACACGGCCCGGGGAGGTTCCTGAAGACCTGAAGACCTTTCGGAAACTCGAAAAGTCCTTTCCGTGGCGCTCTTGTGGCTATATGCTGATTCTCACTCTGGTTTTGTTTTTGTTTTTGCCAAGGGCCAACTCAGGGAAACGTGAGGTTCTTCCCGTGAGAGGCAGCGTCTCCCTGCGGGGATCGGGCATCGGGGATCGGGATCGGGATCGGGGATCGGGTCAGGGTCCCGC